CGAGCAAATCCCGACCAACTTGGTAACAATTCAAGGGTGACCTGCTATCAGTAATCCAGACTTGGATGAGCTACGAATTTCCCCCACCACTCACGCCCTTCTCCACTGAGCTAGGCTATCAAAAGTGATATCTCAGGTGCCAAGGTGGCAAAATGGCGCCCAACGTGGGGCTTTTGGATAATACAGGAACTAAGCTGTATTGGGAAAGCTTTTAAACTGTGTGTGAACATAATTTTAATACTTCAAATTTTGTTGGTAATAATTGAGTGAAAAAAAAAATTGATACTGCTGTTTGGATTTGTTTGTTCTTTCATTAATCTGTTCCAGTTCACAAGCTAACTACTGAAAGGAGCAAAACTGGATAAAAGTTCTGCTGGTCTTATACTTTGTTGTGAATATAATTTTGTTTTGTTTATGTACTGTTCTGGTCATCTAGTGAATTTGATATTTTATCTGACAATGAGTGCCTATCATTTGCGTAAGCCTGAGGTCATCTACGAACTAAAAATCAGGAATGTTGATACGAATGATACTGCTAATGAGTTAAGGAAGCGTCTAACGCAGTGTTTATCGACAGATACAAAAATTGATGAGGCTGTTGTAAACTCCTTAGATGCAGACGTAGAATTAGAGGAATGTGAGATTAAATACCAGGATTTATCTTCATTGGTAAGCGACTATGAAGGGAATTATAACGACAACGAGTTTCACAGGATTTCAGCTCGTCTTTGGCACCTGTACCTTAGAGTAGAAAGAATCCCAGTGGGAGCGGGGGCTGATAAGGAGATTTCAGATTCAAAGGAAAAATTGTTACACCAAAGTAGGGAGCTACTGGATTCCTTTAAAGAAACCCCCACACAGAGGAGTGATGCGTTAGAAAAAACGCCGGCAACACCGTCCGAACGTCTACCTTCTCAAGTATTGGAAACTGTGACCCAGGAAACAAATTTTGAGCTGCCAAAAACTTCATCCCTTCTATCTCAACCACCTGCACTGATGGAATACGACAAGAACGTTGCTGGGGAACGGAAGCTACTGGAAGAATGGCGGCAGAACGAAGAAAGGAAATTGTACCAAGAAAGGCGTCACCAAGAAGAATGGCTTCAGAAGGAAGAGAGGAGGCTACAAGAAGAAAGAAGAAAACTGGAGGAAAAATGGCAACAGGAAGAACAGTTGTGGAAAATCAGAAAACAGCAAAGAGAGAAATTTAGCATGGAAGAGATTAGTATTCAAGAAGCTGCGAGGAAGACAGAAGTTGGAAAATTGAGGGAGGATTTAAGACCTCAAGCGGTTAGAGGATCTTTTGAGGACTGTGACCTGTCAAGATTTTCTTCAGCTCCAGATTACACACAAGCTACTTCCAGGCCAAAATATGTTCCGGTTTACAAATGGGGGCTGAAATTTGATAACTCCGGCATAAGTATTGCTTCATTCCTTGAGAGAGTGGAGGAGCTTCGAAGGGCTAGAGGAATCACTCATCAAGAACTATATGAGTCTGCGGTGGATCTGTTTTCAGGACCTGCGCTGGTATGGTACCGTGCGGCATCAAATAGAATTCAGTCTTGGCATCAATTGACGAAGGAGCTCAAGGAAGTCTTCCAACCGGCGGACTATGACCTAAGGCTCCATCAGGAGATATTTAACAGGGTGCAAGGGGATAATGAGCCTATAGATCTATATATAGCCGCGATGGAAGGCTTATACGGTAGATTAGCGGTACCTGTCCCTGAGCCCACACGCCTAGCTCAGATATATCACAACTTACATCCTCGGCTGCAAGACCGACTCGCTCTTTGTAGCATCCAAACACTTGACCAACTCCGTACCATGGGACGAAGGGCAGAGGCAGGCCGACTAAGTATGGTTAGGATAAGACCAGCAACGACACGAGAAAATACTCTCGAACCGGACCTTGCCTATCAGGATCAAAGCTACAGACGCAAAATTCCAGTGGGACGTGTAGCTGGTGTGCAACCCTTCGAGTCAAATCGCCAGGACTTTGTATGTTGGAACTGTCGAGAAAAGGGTCACAGCTTCAGATTTTGCCGAAAACCAAAACGAAGATTCTGCTTTGGTTGTGGAAAGGAAGACGTTTTGAGACAAGACTGTGGAAAATGTTGTCCAAAAAACGGGCAACGCAAGGAGTCAGGAAGGAATTAGATGGTTCTGGCTCCTTGGAAATTGAAAAGATCCTCACCACTCATAGATCGGCCGCTCAGAAGAGCACCCCAGATATTAACTATATCATACATAGCCAAGAGAAGGACAATCGGCCTTATTTGAAGGTGAGAGTGTTTGGCCGGGAGATTATAGCTTTATTGGACTCTGGGGCTTCCCAAACGTTTTTAGGTGAAAAGGGAATGTGGATTTTAAAAGAATTCCCAGCTCGCCTTCATAGTACTAGTGATCGTTTTGTGGAGACAGCAGACTCAAGACGCCATGAAGTCAAGGGCTTTGTCAACCTACCCATTACGTTACAGGGCCGAACTAAGAACCTGAATGTTTGCGTCGTACCCTCGCTGCAGCATACTCTGATCTTGGGAATAGACTTCTGGGAAGTTATGCATATTGTTGCGGATATGCACAACCGGAAGTGGGATTTCGGCCAAAAGAAAGTTGATCTGTTTTGTAGTTCGATTGAAGGTATTACCTCGGAAGATAACCTTACAGCATCAGAACGATGCAAGCTCCAAGATCTTCTGGAGAAACATTTCAAGGATGAACCTGCCACCTTAGGAAGAACTGATAGGGTGAAGCACATCATTGATACGGGAGATGCGGTCCCAATCAAGCAGCGGTACTACACTGTCTCCCCCGCTCGTCAAAAACTCATCAATGAAGAATTGGACCGGATGTTAGGGTTGGGGGTTGTGGAGCCATCACAGAGCGCCTGGTCTTCACCAATCATGTTGCTGGACAAACCAGATGGCAGTAAACGGTTTGTGGTTGATTTTAGGGCTGTGAATGCCGTGAGTAAAAAGGACGCTTATCCCTTACCGCAAGTAACCACTATCCTAGACAGGCTTAGAGACGCTAGGTTCCTGTCCAGTCTGGACATCAAAAGCGCATATTGGCAGATAGAGCTTGAGGAGTCCAGCAAGGAAAAGACTGCGTTTGCAATCCCAGGTCGCGGACTATACCAATTTGTCACCATGCCTTTTGGACTGTGTGGAGCCCCTGCGACTTGGCAACGTTTTGTGGATACAGTCTTGGGACCTGACTTAGAGCCAAACGTTTTCGTCTATCTTGACGACATTATAGTAGTGACCTCTACCTTTGACTCACACCTCCAGGTACTGGCAGAGATATTCCGAAGAATTCGTGCTGCCAAGCTTACCCTCAATCGAGAGAAGTGCAAGTTCTGCAGAAAGGAATTAAGGTACCTGGGATATATTGTTAGTGGGGATGGTTTACGCGTTGACCCTGACAAAATCAAGGCCATTGTGGATATCCCGGTACCACGTAATCCAAAGGAGATACGTCAGTTTACAGGTATGGCATCGTGGTACAGGCGCTTTATTCCCAACTTTGCGTCTCGTATGGCTCCTTTGACTTCCCTTCTGAAAAGGAGAAATCGTTTCGACTGGACTCCAGAATCTGAGACAGCTTTTCAAGACATAAAGTCCTGCCTGATCACTGCTCCCATCCTATCATGTCCGGATTTCTCGAGGCCTTTCACAATTTCCTGTGACGCCTCCGGTGTAGGAATTGGTGCGGTGCTGAGCCAGGAAATTGAGCAAGGAGAAAGTGTAGTAGCCTATGCCAGCCGTACACTTACCAGGCAAGAACAGAACTTCTCAGCCACCGAAAGAGAATGTTTGGCGGTGATCTTCGCAGTGGAGAAGTTTCGACCATACGTTGAGGGAACCAAATTCACGGTAGTGACTGACCACTACAGCTTGCTTTGGCTTAGGAATTTGAAGGACCCTACTGGACGCCTAGCTCGTTGGGCTCTGCGATTGCAACCCTATGATTTTCATCTAGTACACCGTAAGGGACATGAAAATGTTGTGCCTGATCTGTTGTCCCGCACAACCCCACCGATCGAGACTAGACCAACGTCTTCCAATATTATCTCTTGTGACTTGCTAGAGATGCCAGCGACTATCAAGGACAGATGGTACAATGAAATGTTGGACAAGGTAATGAAAGATCCTCAAAAATATTGCCAGTGGCGTGTTCAAGAGGGAAAACTGTGGAAGAATGTGGACATGTCAGGAGGCTTGCTTGAAGAGGCTAGCTGGAGACTAGTCGTACCAAAGGATCTCCGGCCTCAGGCCTTGGTCGAGTGTCATGATGACCCCCTCGCAGGACATCAAGGTGTTTTGAAAACCTATAAACGTATGCAAAGGATATATTATTGGCCAAAAATGCGAAAGGATGTCGCAACCTATGTCGCAAAATGTACTATATGCCAACAGACCAAATACGACCAGCAACTCCCTGCTGGTGTGATGGGCAGCAGACGTGCTGTTGATTCTCCTTGGCAAATGATTGCTGCAGATTTGATCGGACCACTACCAAGATCTCTAAAAGGTTTTAAATACCTGTTGGTTGTTACTGACACCTTCACCAAGTACACTATCCTTCGGCCACTCCGAGCTGCTACTGCGAAACTTGTATCACAACATTTAGAGGAAGACGTCTTTCTGTTTTATGGGGTGCCACGATACCTCATCTGCGACAACGGTTCGGAGTTCATTGGGGCACCAGTTAAAGACCTAGCTAGGCAGTACAAAGTGAAAATTCTTCTAAATGCCAGCCGACACCCTCAGGCTAATCCAGCAGAAAGAGTAAATCGGGATGTTGTCACTATGCTGCGAGCGTATGTCTCAGAAAATCACAGGGAATGGGACAAGTTTATCCCAAAGATAGGATTTGCCCTTCGCACGGCTCATCATGAGGTGACAAATCATTCACCAGCATTTTTGAACTTCGGGCGGGAACTCGCTACTTCTGGAGAAGGATTTGAAGTTCTTAATAATGGTTCGGATGTACCCCTACATAATTTTCCCCGTCTGCATTTTTTTGTATCCAGAATTGGCCGTCTGCATATTTTTGTAAGCATCTTTTGTTTGATTTTGTTTAATGTTCTTGTTGCAATTAGTGCATTTTTCCTGTGAAACAGAAGCTAAATTTAGTTTGGAAGTGGAGTGAAACATAATATAGTTTTAGATAAAATAATCACACAAAACATAGAACACGTGAAATTTGTTTTAAAAATAAATGAGTTTGGAAAAAGAAAAGTTATTGGGTAATGTATAATTTAGTAACCTTAACTGGGTAAAATTGCCTCTTAATGTTTCTATATCTTTATCTGTAAAAAATTTCAATTTAAGTTAATAATTGATAATCTCAATAATAAATACCTAACTAATGTATAAGAAATTGAAATATAAAATCAATAAAATAAAAAATAAATAGAAATATAAAATAAATACAAATATAAAATAACATATAAAATATAAATAATTATAATAACTAAACCAATTCGTAAATTAAAAAGAAAAAACATGTGGCTAGGATTCAGTCGAAACTTCGTTGCCATTGACTGTATATCTAAGGAACGTTACAGCCTCAGGTGCAGGTACGAGGGCATGATTCAAAAGTGTTTGTACTAGAATGTTATCCACAAATATTTAACGATCTCTTGTCTTACATGACTAGATACACTATATGTTTCTAGGTTACTTACTCTTCTACGGATGTTTAGGTTGCATTTGCTGCAAACTGGATATTGTTCCCCGTCTCCATTATCTTCTTTACATAACTGGCCGTCTGAATCTTTGTACAACCATTTTTTGTTTGATTTTAGATTAATTGTTTTGTTGCAGTTATTGCATTTTTCCTGTGAAACAGAAGCTAAATCTTTATTTTGAAGTGGAGTGAGTCATAATATAGTTGTAGATAAAATAATCACACAAAACATAGAACACGTGAAATTTGTTTTAAAAATAAATGAGTTTGAAAAAAGAAAAGTTATTGGGTAATGTATCATTTAGTAATTTTGTTGCCAACAATTATACCACTTACTTTTAGACTATTAGGCTATGAATATTTCAATTAAGTGTTCAGAGAAGCTGATGCATTAATCCGGACTCAAGGAATTGTTTTTCTATTATAGTGACCGACTGTGAACTTAAATTATTTTGTTTAAGGCCTACAGCTAAAATTATAATACTTGAACAAATTTGGAAATATAGTCTACTGGTAAGAGTAAGGAACTTTTTAACTAACTTAAATTGGAAAGTTATTGAATTGCATGTACAGGTTAACCTGTATTACATAAATTCAAACGTAAAATCAACTTATATGTCTGTAGGCGTAGGGTTTACCTTGTCTTTGCACCCGGCGTCATCACAGGGACAGTTCTCTGTCAATTTCTCTTTCGCTAATTAGTAAAATATTTTAATTCTCTACTTTAAAACCGCGCAACAGTTACTTACCCCACCGTGATTCTTGTAGTACTGATTGCACGCGTTGCATTCTGTGCCACCTTTCCACCATTTTGATGATGTCACAGTGTTACAGTTGTTACAGATTTTCTGCAGCCACATGTAACAAAAGTTAAGTCTGTAGTGAAAAATAATATAGGCTAGTGGTAGATGTGACCTTTGAAGTTAGTCCAGTCATTGAGTAGTGGAGATTCAACAAAATTGTTTCAAAAGGTTCTCAACAGATTTCATTACTTTTATACCTCCACACAACACAACCACTTTGAGCAGACTTTGAACAGACTTTGAGCCAACCACCCACTAATGGTTTTTTTCGAATACTTCTTTCGGGCTCCCCTTCCAAATTAGCTGTGCAGATTCTAATACAAATTATTAAGAATTATTATCTTAGTGCAAGGACAAGGTAGCTAAAGGTCCATAGTTCTTTATTAAGGAACTATAGAAGCTAAAATTATTTTATGATCACTGCTGTTTAAAACCCTATATAAAAAACCAATCAAGAAAAATATTTAAACATTTTCAAATCTACTAAATCCATGGCAACGATGAGAAACCATCTAAATGAGGTTTTATTAACATGTCTCACTCATTACACACGGGCCCATCTAGGAGGCTAACTGTCTCCTTTAAAACCGCCCAACAGTTTTACTTACCCCACGGTGATTATTCGGCCATTGAAAGCAGGCGTTGCACATTGTATTCTTTTTTCTCCATTTACTGGTCTGGTCAGTGCCACAGTTTTTACAGGTAATCTGTAGCCACATGTAACAGAAGTTAAGTCTGTAGTGTAAAATAATATAGGCTAGTGGGAGATATGACCTTTGAAATAAGTCCATTCATTGAGTAGTGGAGGTTCAACAAAATTGTTTCAAAAGGTTTCTCAACAGATTTCATGACTTTTATACCTCTACACAGCACAAAAAAGTCTACCGAAGTCTGACTTGGGGAAGTTCCTGATATTAGGTTATTTAAATTAGAATAATAATTGCTCCCAGAAAAAAAATTGTTAAACACATTATTGCTAGATGTAGGGTGTAGTATATAGTTTTTAATGTTTACGAGGGTGGGGAAACTAAATCTGCAACTTAAATGAGATTTGACCTCACAAAATCCTACTACCGCATCAATGTTCCGTCAAATCAAATCAAATCATCTTTATTTTTGCACAGAAAAAAACTGTATAATAGCGTCACAAGAATATATAATAAAACTAAATTATAAATGCTGTTAGAACTAAAACGCAACTGAACAGTATCTTAATTCGATCGGCAACTTAAAAAATCTTTCACAGTGTAGGGAGCTTGTTCCAAGAGTATGCGTTTGACCGCTCTCCCAAATTTGTCTTTGTCTTGCTCCACTTTCAGGGGTTCAGGCAACACATTGAAAAACCTGATACTATTATAAAATAGGTGTCTCTCAAAGAAACTTGTCCTGTGCTTAGGTAGCTTAATATTGTTTTTTTGTCTGAGAGTGTACTGCATTGAATGGAACTGCGGTTGATACAGTTAATTTCCTTTTAAAAACGATAGACAACTGAGTATGTATATGGATGGAAATGTGAGAATATTGTATTCCTTGAAGAGAGGCTTGCAAGAAGTACGACGGGATATTCTGAAGGCTGCTCTAAGGGCTTTTTTCTGAAGACGGAAGACAAACTTTGTTCGTACGCTCTCACAGCCCTAAACTGCCACCAAATACGACAATAATGGGTAAATCAGTCCATAATAGGCACTCAAGGTTACACGAGAATCGGTAAACCTCGAAAGACCTCTGATCACAAAAATTCCTGTGCTAATTCTTCTTGATATGAGCTCTATATGGTCATGAAAGTTGAGCTATCTGTCTAAAACCAAACCAAGAAACTTAGCATTGCTGTAAGAAGAGATCTCTTCGTCACCTATCAAAACAGTCAGTGTGACTTGCTTTTTTGAGCTGTTAATATGGTATTGGAGCATTTTTGTTTTCTTGCAGTTTAGAAGAAGTTGGTTGTTTTGGAACCATTTGCAACAAAAAGTAAAAACAAAAACAACAAAAGTAAAACAAACTGCAATCAAAATATTAATAACGAAATTAGTATCCTACACCAAAATATCCAGCACCTACCCTCCAGACTAGACATGTTGTCTATCTTACTAGATGAAATTTCAGTGGATTTATTAGTACTGACAGAACATAAAATGAAAGAAAATGAAATAAATCGTTTGAATACAAAAAATATGACAGTTAAATCTTGTTATGCTCGAAAATTAACATGTGGAAGTAATGTATTAATTTTGGCCAGATCAGCACTTTATTTATTAATTTATTATTATTAGAAACATCGTCTTTAATTAATTGATTTTAGTGTAAAGTTCAATGAGGATATTTAGTAATCATTGCTTTGTCTGAAGAATGCAGATATAAATTATTTCCTCATTAAATTTAGTTTTAAAAATACATTATTGGTTTAAATTGTGTATTTTATAATCCAATCAAAATTGCAGTCTTGAGAAAATATTTTTGTTCACTAATGTGTATTTTTATCATATTTAAGTATTCAAACAGATCAGAAGGAATTATTAAAAAAAAAATAGCAAACCGGCCATTGGTGACCTGCATGTTCATAGGATACACTACCAACCACTTAGCTAAAAGATTCGCCCAATCCGATGATTTCGAGGTGTATGTCTAAACCAAGGATTATGAACACCTCACTATGCCCCAGTGGTTGTAGTATATCGCTACAAACACACAGATCGCCAATTATTTGCCACACAGGACGGGATTCGAACCCGAGCAGACGAATGCCACTGGCCAAGTGACACACGCCCTAGCCTTCTCGGCTATCTGTGCTTGAAGACTGAGTCAAAAACCGGTATTTAAGCTGACGCCACTGATTGCGAACAGATAGCGCTACAGATGGTTGTTCAATGCGTTACTAGGTAGCAGCACTAGTTAGTCACGAACTATTTAGATGATATTTTTCAGTTTATATTGTGTTCCTGAGATTTTGCTGCAAAACATTATTTTCCCTAAAATGGCTTTATTATGACAACCTCGTCCAACTAAATCAAAGTTAAATTCAATATTACACAGTAAACTATATGTCTTTTGATTTTATGAGATTTTGGTTTCAAACAATGCTATCAGAACATAAAAATGTATAGGAAAACCAGGAAAATTACAACAAAAACTAAGTTTTATTTCATGTTTACTACAAATACGAGGATTTATCTTTGCTAAACATTTTCTTATCGTCTTATTATTCAAAATTAGCCTAATTAATAAAATAGTGACAACATTACAGTTAAAATTCAACAACAGGTAATATGTGGAACAATGTTTAAATCCACTTTTTGTTTTTGATGTTTGTAAATAAATACTTGTAAATTGTCTCTAGCTACGCTTATTTTAAAAACAAGTTTTAGTATTATTTATGACTGGATAGCGTAATATGTATCAGTTATTAATGTGACATTCACAGGTTCTTCCAAGGACGAAGTTCTAGCCACGGGTTCGGTAGTGGGAGGTTCTAAAGTGCTCTTCTCCAAAGTGTTCTTCTCTTCTACAGTGGGGAGTTTGACTCCACCCTGCAGTAAAGATAATTAGTTTCTAATTTACTACAAAAAACTCTAAAATATAAATCAGAATATAAATCCGGAGCCTAAGCTGAGTAGGTGTGGTCCTTCAATTGTTGAATCCTTCGTTTAAGACCACTCAAACTTCAGTAGAGACTATGGGGAGATTTGGAAATTGGGACCGATACAAAAAAAGTCTACCGAAATCTGATATAATATAGTTAACATGGTGTCAGAATAACTTGTGAGAATGGATTGTAAACCTGCACCTCTTGATTTGAGCAATACTACTACCAGCTTAAATTAGATTCAATTATATTCATCCTAAATTAAAGTATACTACCTAATTGGCTACATGGTAGGGGTATAAGTTACTTACCCCATTGTGGTTCATTTGCCATTGATGACAAGCATGTCATTTTTGGCCCCACCACCTAGTTGTTGTTGTGGTGGTGCAGTTGATACATATTTCTTGTAACAGAAGTTAAGTCTGTAATGAAAAATAACATAGGCTAGTGGTGGATATGACCTTTGAAATTAGTCCATTCATTGCGTAGTGGACGTTCAACAAAATTGTTTCAAAAGGTTTCTCAACAGATTTCATTACTTTTATACCTCCACACAGCACAAAAAAGTCTACCGAAATCTGACTTGGGGAAGTTCCTGATATAAGGTTATTTAAATTAGAATAATAATTGCTCCCTGAAAAAAATTTTTAAACACTTTATTGCTAGATGTAGGGTGTAGTATATCGTTTTTAATGTTTACGAGGGTGGGGAAACTAAATCTGCAACTTGAAATGAGATTTGACCTCACAAAACGCAATGGAAACGATAGTACGATGGTAACGATAGTAGTATGCTAGTAAGGAAAAGACCATAGTCTCAAATTTGAACTTTCACTTTGGCTAAAAAACAAATTACATTGCTCTAAATCAAATCGAAGATTACTAAGATTGCTTAAATAAATAATTTGAACATCCTAGTATTTTACTATGAATATTTAATTAATCTGTCATCCTCTTACAGTTGAATTGAACGTATCAATGATTAGCATTACACATAGTATAAATAAGTCAACCCTAAGTATGTCTTTACGTTTTTATCCAAATGCTGAATTTGTGACACAAAAGCTGAATGTTTACAGTTGTTATGTTAAGCAAAGTATTTTATGCCAAAAGCTAGTTTAGAATCTTAGCGCCGGCTGCTAGACTTTGTCAGACTTTGAGCCAACCACCCACTAATGGTTTTTTTTCTATCGGGCTCCCCTTCCAAATTAGCTGTGCAGATTCTAAAACAAATTCTTAAGAATTATTATCTTAGTGCAAGGACAAGGTAGCTAAAGTTCCATAGTTTTTTATTAAGGAACTAAAGAAGCTAAAAATTATTTTATGATCACTGCTGTTTAAAACCCTATATAAAAAACTAATCAAGAAAAATATTTAAACATTTTCAAATCTACTAAATCCATGGCAACGATGAGAAACCATCTAAATGAGGTTTTATTAACATGTCTCACTCATTACACACAGGCCCATCTAGGAGGCTAACCGTCTCCTTTAAATCCGCCCAACAGTTTTACTTACCCCACGGTGATGTTTGGGCCACAAAAAGCAGGCGTTACACATAGTTTTATTATTCCTCCATCTACTGGTCTTGTCCGTTCCGCAGTTATTACAGGTAATCTGTAGCCACATGTAACAGAAGTTAAGTCTGTAGTGAAAAATAATATAGGCTAGTGGTGGATATGACCTTTGAAATTAGTCGGTCAATGAGTAGAGGAGGTTCAACAAAATTGTTTCAAAATGTTTCTCAACAGATCTCATTACTAAACTAATAAACTAAACTAAACTAATATTTTTGTTCACTAATGTGTATTTTTATCATATTTACGTATTCAAACAGATCAGAAGGAATTATTTTTAAAAAAATAGCAAAACGACCATTGGTGACCTGCATGTTCATAGGATACACTACCAACCACTTAGCTAAAAGATTCGCCCAATCCGGGCTAGGTAGCAGCACCAGCTACTCAGGGACTATTTAGATTTTATTTTTTTAAACTTACATTAAGTTACTGTGTTAAAAAAAACTTAATTCACGCTATGCAACGGAACTAGACTGACGATTTAAAAAATTACACCAAACTTGATCGAAGCAACAATCATCAGTGTAAGTTCAAAGGAGAAATAGTCTTAATCCCAAGAATACCGATTTCATCTGAAATACCTTCTGAATTCAAGCGACTACAATTTCCTTTGCGTCTTGCTTTCGCAATGACCATTAATAAGGCACAAGGGCAATCCCTGACTATCGCTGGTTTAAATTTAGAAAATGCATGCTTTTCACACGGACAGCTGTATGTTGCGTGCTCACGTCTTGGTACGCCTAAAAACTTATATATTTATACACCTAATGAAAAAAAATCATAGTTTATCCACTGGCATTAAAGTAAAATAAATATTCTATACTTGTTCTTAGTATACTTTTTTTATTATTTATCGTAAACAACAAATTACCATTTAAAAATATAGTTATTAAGCACAGCAACTCGCGCCGGGTAACTGCTAGTAACCTATAAAGTATTTAAAAATATACTTTACTGTTGATGTCGAAAAGCCTAATTCTTTTTTCTTGGCCACTTTCCTCGAGCCATTCCTGGAGGCCTGCTCTCCTGGAACAAAACACATACGTCATTATGGTGATTTCAATTATTTTAAAATCAAATCACATGTGGCAGTAGGGGGGTCTATTATAGATGATGGTTATGAAATCATTTACTGCCAATCTCTACATAACCATTCACGAAGGAACGGTCAACAAACTTACTTGTAAACATACTAACTTGTAGATCATTAAATGGAATTCTTCATTTAAAGATTTAGTTTTATTTTAAAACAAGAAACGTCCCCCATGGTTGTTGTACGCCAAAAAGACAAAGTCCGAATCTGCTTAGATCCAACCGATTTGAACAAAAATATTAAACGTCGCCATCACCCACTTCAAACTTTAGAAGATTTATCATCTAGGTGAAATGGCTCAAGATTTTTCACACTCCTAGATTGCAGAGAATGATTTTGGCAAATTAAGGTTTCTGAGCGTACTTCTAAGTATTTAACTTTTTCCACGCGCGGATGATCCGCGTCGTGTGGCCCCGGCCTTACATTCGGGAACTAGTTCCACACGCGACGTGGCACGGGCAAACGTTTTGTCATGACTGGGGTTGTGGCTGGCCTTGCTGCCCCCCCCCCCCCCAACCACATTATCAGAACAATGTCGATAGTATTTGTCTTTCTTTACTGACAATGAGAATCGCCGTCGTAGATTATATTTTAAAAAATATATTGAAAAATTCTAACTAATTTATTTCAACTACCTTGTATATACTAAAATATACTGGACAATTAAAGAAAAAAGTTAATAAACTTACTTAGACTGTCCATTTACAAGTCTCCTGGTAGCTGTTGCTTTGGTAGCTGTAGCTGTAGGTTTTGCTGTTTGGCTTGTAGGTTTAGGAGTTAGTTTAGGAAATATATTTAGTTAGCATTAATATATTTTATTATTTGTTTTCAATTTGCATGTTGAATTAATTATAAACACTTAAAAATTTGAAATTAGAGAGCCAAGCAAATAAATGTGAATCATTAAAAGTTGTGAATTATCTATTGGGTTGTATCTATTGGGAGAAAAATAAACAATTTGAATAACAGAGTTAATTTTTAAACAGGTAAGGTTCTTTTTGAAATTTTGAATGATGCCTTAGTCAAGAAGCAACAACTTTGACATAAATATGGCAAAAAAATTTAGTTTCAGGTTAGATAAATAAAGAGATTTTTGTGGACCAAACATTCGTCAAGAAACAGGATACTTGTACGATTTTGAGTTCATATCCTTATTTAATAATACTAGCCACCCATTTAACAAATCAGTTGTCATTCAAGCTTTTTTTTGTTTTGATCGATATGTTATTGGGAATGACTTTAAAACAATTGGGGGTTAGCGGTTTTTCCAACGGGAAAACACTGCCAACCAGACGATGTAATTACAGCTCTAACTTAACACCAAAGTTACTGTGCCTAACAGGAAGTATAGTTTCCTGTTATAACTGAAATGAATCTATAAATTTACCTCCGTCCCTTCAAAGGAATTATAGAGTTCTGCGGACAAAAATGTGAAATAGGCTACTGTGTGTTCCTAATTGACCTGCATTGTGTTGGTATCAAAATGCATGGTAAAACTGAAATATCAAGTGACTCTAGGCAAGGGGCTGAGCTTTTATTTAAAATGTAATAATTCAAAAATCCTAAATGTAATCATACACTATTGTTGTTATTCTCCTCACCTGTACATTTGAAGCAGTCGATGTGGAAAATCATGTTTTTCACCATCAGCTCCTCCCCAAAATATCTCGTCTTACACCCAAAACAATACCTCCTCGCACAACTCGTCTTAACTGCAGACAACACACACACACACCACTTAGACATAATCAATCTTATATCAGTACCGTAAATAAATCAGCACTTATCACGTAACTTGTATCCAAAAAATATTCTCTCAAAGACATCTCAAACGTTAATGCAAACTTACGTGCACGTGTGCGTGTTGGGTTATTGTGTATAAAACACAAGCACTAACCCAACACAAAAATAATAATGGATGTTGGAATCAGACTGCTGTACTGGGTTTCATACAGGTTCATACAGTATCACTGTCACAACTTATACATATCTTTCACATTAATAATAATGCAAAAATATAACTGTTTATCTTTGCAAGCCAATACACGGGCTAAGTGCACATTCATATCAAATGTTGAATTTGATCATGTTCTACCAATTAGTGATGGTTAATATGATTGATTTTTTTATTTGAACTATAAATATAATATATCAATATAATATACAATATAATATAGAAAACTTTCAAATAAGGGGAGATTTTCAATAGGTATTTTTCTTAATTGACCAGTATTTTCAGATTGCGCAACTGGTTTGCAACGACAGTTGTAAAACAGTCACACCGTGTGCGCTGGGCCTAAGTGTCATGATTACCAGCTTTACATGACAAAATACACTAAATGTTTCTAGGTTACTTACCCCATTTGAGTAAAGGTACATGTGACACGCGTTGCATAATGGCATGAAAGAATATCTCGGGTGTTTAATTGCTATGTTACAAGTTGGATTGAAACATAGCACATTCATACCTATCTTGAACCTGTAAAACAGAAGTGATGTACAGATTATTCACTGTAAACAATTCAGTTATACATTACAGTCAAAAGGCATAAGAGGCTGTAACATTAACTGGCTTAAATTACCTCTTAAAATTTCTATATAATATGTGGTACTTTGTATGTATGGAACTAGACTGCGAGAGAGAAAGATGTTGAAATCATCGAACAAATTTGCAGACACGTGAAATTTTTTTCTTAAAATAAATGAGTATGAAAAAAGAAAAGTTATTGGATAATGTATAGTTTAGTCATTTTGTTACCAACAATCAATGCCGTATTTAAGGTACATGCGACCGTAGGCCAAATTACTTAAGCGGCCCCCATCCCTGTGGTTGAAATTCCCTACGATAGCTGTGAAATAATGAAAATGTCCCACGATCATCGTCACCAGCAATTGTGTATGAAATTGTGTACATCTCAACATTTTCCTTGGGCTACAATTCCGGGTAAATCATCATTGACACCCTTGATCGCGAAGAAATCGTGAACACTGCTTTCCCTAAAACAAGGGAATATCGTCATCGACACTTGCGACCATAGCGAAATCGTGAACATCTCCCTCGGGCTGCATTTACGGGGAAATCATCACCGAGACTCAGGACTGAGGCAAAATCATGAATGATATATTTTCAATATAGTGTCAATTAATAATATTCTATCCTCCTATATTTTAATACCAGCTGATTGGTTAATTATTTATTGTTTTTCTGTTGTGAGTCCGTTGTACAATTTAATGTTTTGTTTTAGTGTTTGTTATGAACACATGAAGCTATAGTTGTTACCATAGCAACCCAAATGTTTATTATGCAATGCTGTTTATTTTCTATTCTGAATTTAATACAACATTAATACAACATTTTCTATTCCGATCAGAAGGTGGGTGATGTACGGACTATTCACTGTGAACAATTCAGTTATACATTCCGGTCAAAAGACACAACAGGCTGTAACCTTAACTGGGTTAAATTGTCTCTTAATGTTTCTATATCTTTATCTGTAAAAATTTCAATTTAAGTTAATACTTGATAATCTCAATAATAAATACCTAACTAATGTATAAGAAATTAAAATATAAAATACAATATAAATACAATATCTTGTCTTACATGACTAGATACACTGTTTCTAGGTTACTTACTCTTCTACGGATGTTCGTGTTGCATTTGCTGCAAACTGGATAACGTTCCCCGTCTCCATTATCTTCTGTACAGAACTGGCCGTCTGAATCTTTGTACAACCATTTTTTGTTTGAATTTAGAAGAAAACCAATTTTCAAGAAAACCAATGTGTTGTACACATAATAGTATTAGATTATGCATAATAGTCAAGGAAGTAACTAACGACACCAGATTAACAAACATCTAGCTCAAAAGTGGACGGAAATAAATGTTATCATTTTGATAATATTTTAAAACTTATCATCACCTTCATCATCTTCCTCCTCTTCATAAAAATTCCCTTTTGGTGTCCCTGGAGTGGCAACAGCAACTTCCACTGGGAAGTCTTTTGCTATAAAAATAAGTCA